TGCTCCCCCCACAGCAGAGAATCCTGGGGGCTCCGGCTTGGCACTCTCACCCCTCTATGGCTCTCTCCTGAGTTCCTGCCACAGCTTCTGCTCCTGCCCCACCGAGCAACCAGGGTGATCCTGGAACACAGGTCACCTCCCTCCTCTGCTCCAACCTGCTGTGGCTCCATTCTTACCCACAGGAGGCCCAGGCCCTTCAGGGGCCACAGGAACCTCCCAGCCTGGCCTGGTGCCTCCCTGGGCCCTCCCCCCACACTCCCTGCTCATCCACCTCCTTTGCACTGGCTGTTCCCTGTCCGGATGGCTGTTCCCTGTCTGAACCGCTCTTCCCCGAGTCTTAGCACAAATGCCTCACCTCCCCAAACACCCTGCCCTGGTCCCTCCGCTTCCCCTCCTTTCTTCCTAGCACTCTTCACCTTCTAGTACGAGGTAATGTCGTGTTTCTTGTTCTTTTGCTTGTCTCCCCCGTAGAACAAAGCCACTAGCAGGGCAGGGTCTTCGTCCCGACTCTGCTGTGGGCTCCCCAGCCCCTCACAGCCTGGCGCATGCTAGTAGCTGCTCAGTAAATGCTGTTCCCTAGAAAGGGAGCCTGGAGACCCCCTGTGTTGGCCTCTGTGGGTGTGTTTGGGGGACACCCCTCATCTATAAGTTCTTCTGTGGGGGCTGGCAGGAGCCTAGCGAGGAAAGTACCAGCCTTCCCGGCAGAGGAGCCGCTGGACTAGGAAAGCCCTCCCTTCAGGGCCAGGGCTGCTGTGGTTGCAGATGGATGTGAGCCAGGATGCAAATGGCCTTTTATACCAGGAGCCGCACACTTGGCTGGGCCCTGGCAACCGCCCCGAGAAACTCGGAGCCTGCTGTCTCCACCCTCTGCCTTCCCCAGGCAGCCCCACAGCCTCCCACGCCCAAGCCCAGGTGGGGAAACTGAGGCATGGCACGAAGAGACTGGCCCACACGGAGGGACCCCACCAGTTCCAAGGATGCCACAGGTGCTGAGAGTGAGACCGAGTCGCCGGGTGGAGGCTAAGCAAGTGACCCCCGCTGCCGCCCAGGCCAGCCAAGGGCCCCGGCCTGCAGGAGTGAGCGAGGCCTGGGGGCTGGATCCCCCAGCGCAGTGGTTCTCAACCTTCCTAACGCCACCACCCTTTGATACAGTTCCTCATGTTGTGGTGACCCCCAATTTCATTGATACAAATTGAACATAATTAAAGCATAGTGATTAATCACAAAAGCAATATGTAATTATAGATGTGTTTTCCGATGGTCTTAGGCGACCCCTTGAAAGGGTCGTTCGACCCCCAAAGGGGTCGTGACCCACAGGTTGAGAACCACTGCCCTAGGGGAACAGGCTGGGCCACACCAGGAGTCAAGCCAGCAGAGAATAACAAACACCCAGACCCGAGTGCCCGTGCCTGAGGCGCCTGTGGAGCGAGCCCCCTACCTGCCGGCAGGTGCACCCACTGGGAGACCCCTCACCCTGGTGTCGTGCACACACACTCGCGAACACACTCACACATAGACTCCAAGCCTGGTACACACGAACGCACAGACACACCCATGTGCACACACACAGGGCACACCTCCCTGCACCCACAAAGCCCGGCTGGGCACTCCCCACAGCCCTGCCGCCAGGATTGAGTCTATGTGCGCATGTTAAGAGCTTAGACACAGTGAGGGCGTCATGACCGCAATAGCTGGTGGTCGCCGCCCAGGAGCCCTCTGCTCAGTCCCTCTCGGTGACTCCTCCCCCTTCTGGAAGGTTGGGGTCATGGAATCTTCTAGTTGGGAGGGACTTCGAAGGCTGCTAAGTTCCCCAGCCTCCCCGCACTGCACCGGTGAGGAAACTGCGCTCAGAGAAGCTGGGTCTGCCCAGAGCCTTGGGAAGCTGCTAGAACAAGACCCCACAGCCATGGCCTTCAACCCATGGGAGTGCTTGTGGCCCCCAAGACCGCGGCCAGACCCCTCCCCGAGGTCCCGCACTGCCACCTTCAGGATGCTTGGCCCCTGCCCCAGCCAGGTGGGGGCTGTGCAGGTCAGGGCCCTGGATCTGAAGACCTGATGAGGGGCAGGGGGCCTGCACCCCAGGGCCTGTGCTGGGGGTCACTGTGCAGTTCCCGGGTCTTGGGGGGGTAGAGTTGGGGGAAGAATTTGCGTTGTTTCCCCCACTTCCCATGAACATCATTATCTGGAAACACCATTTTCTCAGAACCTGAGAGGCTGGGGAGGGCTGGGGTGGAGCTGTTGGGAGGAAGTTTCTCAGTATCGGGAGGGGCAGGGCAGGGCAGGGCAGGTGGAGGGCAATGGCCGGCCGCAGCCTGCTCCCCGCCAGCGGCACCCCCAGCAAAGCCAAGGCAGGGCCACAGAAAGCTGCCCCCAGCAGGAGGAGCAGGCCCGGCCTCATTCCCCACTGGGGCTCAGCCGCCTCTCCCTCAGGGGGATGGGCTGAGGGGTAAGACCGGGCCTGAGGAGAGAGGCTGCGAGGCCTCTGGTCCCTGGGCCTGGCCAGGGCCAGCCTATCCTGGCCCCACTGCAGCTGGGCCCCAGCGTCCAGGCCTCCCTCCTCCATAGTCTGAGTCACCATCCACCCTCCACCCCTGACACACAGGCAACGGTTTGCTCTAAGGCGGGATCCTTGGGTGGAAGAATGTCTGCCAGGACGGCTGATAACAATTCCTTCCAACCGGTACCTTGGGCCCCACGGCCCTGCTGACGCCTCCTGACCAGTCAGCCTCCAGGGACGCGGAGACACCAGGATCCTACCCAGGGACCCACTGGGCGCCCCGCCTGCACAGGAATGACAGCTGAGCCTCCCCCGTTGTGGGGCTGCGGGGTGAGAGGCACAGTGACTTCCTCGGGGTCACAGTATTTGTGACTCAACCCAGACGGGTGGCTTTGCACCTGCCCTTCCACCCAGCTGGTCCTTGCCTGTCCTGAGAAAGATAGAGATGAGTCAGTGGTCTCTCCTCCCTAGGAGTCTGGTGGCCTGTGTGCGATGTGCTTTGACCAGGAGGAGGAGGTGGAAGTGACCGAGAGGATCCAGGCCTATAGCATCCCTCATCTCCAGCTTGGAAGCCACAGGCCACAGGAGGAAATCAGATTAGGCTGCTAGAGAGAGGCCACAGAGCAGAGAAGCCAAGAGATCATGAAGGGAGAAGACAGCCTCTTGCTGTCAAACCAGCCCTGCTAGAGACCCAGACTGTGGGAGGCCAGTTTTCCACCCCGGCCTGCACAGCACACAGCAGAGACAAGCAGTCCAGCAGTCCTGCCCAGCTCTGTCCGAACTGCAGAACTGTGAGCAAATCCACACTGGGGGATGCTTGTTACTCAGCAATAGATAACTGATACACTTCGAGTCCTGACATCTCAGGTCCTGAAATCTCAGGCTCACAGCAACATGACAGTCGACGCTTCCTCTGGTGGCCTGGCCAAGCCACACCCCCTCTCTGGGACTTGGTTTCCCCCAAACAGGGATGACAACAGCACGACGAGGCCTGAGGTGAGGGAGGCACAGTGAGTGAGTGTGGGAGCGGAGCACCCGCTGGCCCAGAGGTTGTGCTTGAGCAATGGGAGCGAGGTGTGGAGGCCCAGCTGCTCCGGCTCCCTGGGCCACAGCCCTGCCCCACAGGACGATGATTTCTCTCTTCCTGACAGACAGACAGACAGTACCCGGCTGGCACTGCTGCTTCTACCCACCTGCTGAGGTGGGTGGAGTGGGGGGCAAAGAGGGTCATTCTCTGAGTCCACCTCAGGGGAGTCATCAGGCTCTTGGAATTTGGGTCTTTTGAGTTAAAAAGTCCTTCAGGACTGAGTCAGGTGGACGCCTCCCAGCCGACCAGTCTCCAGGGACCTGGAGACACCAGGATCCTACCCAGGGACCCACTGGGCGCCCCGCCTGCACAGGAATGACAGCTGAGCCTCCCCCGTTGTGGGGCTGCGGGGTGAGAGGCACAGTGACTTCCTCGGGGTCGCAGTATTTGTGACTCAACCCAGACGGGTGGCTTCGCACCTACCCTTCCACCCTGCTGGTCCTTACCTGTTCTGAGAAAGATAGAGATGAGTCAGTGGCCACCAGCCAATTTGAGGGGCAGCACCCACCGTTCAGCACCCTGAGCCGGGAGGTCGGCACGGGGAGAAGGTGGGAAGGGCTCGGCTGAGATGCCCCAGGGAGAGCCCCGAGTCCCGGACCAGAGGAGCCAGCTGTCCAGGCCACTCAGCAGGAGGCGGCCACCAGCCCCCACGTGGCCCCTCTGCTGCATTCCCGCCCCTTATCCCCCCCAGCTCATTTCAGTCCCCTGCTTGAGAAACCCCCAGAAACAGGGCGCTCACCCCCCACAGAGGAACTGTGGGACCAAGTTTCTCTGCAGGAGGGGCTTGTGCAAGAAGAAGTCTTAAGAAAGAGAGGTATCAGGAGCTGCTCTTGCAGCAAGCGAGCCCCTTTTAAAGCCTAAATTGTGCATCTTCTCGGGGCTGTGGAAGCTGGGGGGCTACCAAGACCCCCCCCCCTGCAGACCACCCTGCTGCTGCCACGACTGCTGTCCACAGGTGTCTGTCCTCCAGTGGCCGGTCCACGCGGACCCACATGCCCAGCTTGCCCTCCCCGCCCTTCACCCCTTTCCTGTGGCCCGGACACACTGCCCCCCGAAAGCCCTGTCCCCACACTCTGGCCCCAGGGAGAGGTGGTTCAAAATAGCTGGCTCCTGGGATGCCAGTTCTTGAACTGTTTTCAAGACAGGACCCCAAAGAGGAAGCAGAGGCCCCGAGAGGGGGAGTGACAGCGGAGGTGGAAGCTGCTCACACCGCACAGTGGGGCGCTGAGCTGAGCCTGAAACTGAACCCCCCTTTTCTCAGCTTCCTGATCACTTCACAGCAGCTCACAGGAAATGGCTCCCCTAGGACTGAAGGGAGGATGTGAGGTGGCCCAGCCAACCCACCCATTCCAGTGACCACCAAGATGACCGCCAACTTCAAAGCCCCTCATTTTAGCAGAGGGAGAGCTGCCTTACCTCTGCCTGCTCCTCCAGGTCAGGAGGGACCTTCTCCACGCAGGAGGGACCATGTCCACTTTACAGATGTGGAACCTGAGGCTGGGAGAGGCTTGGAAGTCCCAGGGTTTGCCAGTGTGGAGCCAGCCTGAACCCAGGCCTGTGGGGGGCTGCAGAGCTCCTGCTGTCTGATGCCGTGTCCTCCAGCGCCAGGGAGTTTGCTCTGCCTGCCCCCTTCACCCACAGTCCCGGGGCTGTTGGCACCTAGGCCCTGAGGGCAGGAAGAGGCACTGCTGATCACATGGCAGACCCTGGGGCTGCAGGAGGGGCATCTGCTACCCGGGCTCACCAGCCAGGCCTCTTACACTTATGTTTGCAGACGACGCTGAGCTTCTGCTGTCCCCAGCCCTGGAGCCAGGAGAGGGGCCGCTTCCAAGCCACGGTCCCTCCTCCGGCCCTGAGCTGCCCCCCGGAGCTCCGCAGGAGAGTCAGGGCCCTGCTGGTTCCTGCTGTGTTCCTGCCCTCAACCCTGAGCCCATCCTCGGGGACAGACGCTGAAGCTCAGACCTGGACGGTGACCTGCCCACGATCACACAGCCATGCCAGGTAATGTGATGGCCGAGTGGGGTCAGAGACCTGGGCCCCTGCCCCAGCGCAGGCAGCACCCCCCGGCTCCCCACCCTGAGGTGTGGGGGAGGAAGAGGGAGTGTGGGGCTCACTCCCCATGGCCACCCCCGACAGCTGGGCTCAGGTTGGGTCCCCCGGTTGTGCCATCGCAGGGCAGAGCTGAGCTTGGTCTCTTGGCCCGGGGCAGGGATTGAAGCCTCTCCCTAAGAGGCCCACCCACACGCAATCTCCTCAAACTTCCTCTTGCAGGCCCAGGATGCACCCCCCCAAACTTCCCCCATTTCCCCCCTCCACACCCAGCCCCACAGTGAACTCCCCTTCCTCTCCACTTGCATGCATGTACTCGCTCCCTCACACACTCGGGAAACAGTCCTGAGACTGGCCCTAGTGCCAGCCCCGTGGGGACACAGAGATGACCCTGCCTCAAGGGAGACGGACCCAGATGCCAAACCACAGCATTAGTCAAAACCAGCCGTGCATGCAGGCTCTTTTAGAGCATTTCCCATGGCCCCTGGGGTTGTCTGCAGTCATTTTTATTGCAGTGTTTCCTAACTGTGCACAGAGCCGCTGTAACCCTCCTGCCTGTGCGCGCCTCCAACATTACAACCAGAGCAAATTACAAAACAAGGGTAAGAAATATTAGCAGAGCCCTAGCCGGTTTGGCTCAGTGGATAGAGGGTCGGTCTGCGGACTGAGGGGTCCCGGGTTCAATTCCGGTCAAGGGCATGTACCTTGGTTGCGGGCACATCCCCAGTCGGGGGTGTGCAGGAGGCAGCTGATCGATGTTTCTCTCTCATTGATGTTTCTAGCTCTCTGTCCCTCTCCCTTCCTCTCTGTAAAAAAAATCAATAAAATATATTTTTAAAAAAAGAAATATTAGCAGAACCAATAAAAATTGCTCCAAGGGGCTGGTTCTCCAGGGCCGGGTGGCCTGGGCCGCAGTGCGAGGGCCTTCCTCCTTCCTCCTTCTTTCACCTTCCGTGCACGTGCGAGGCCCTGGCTGGCTGGGAACCTGGACGGGCATAGTCTCCCCCATCAGCTCTCATTAGCCACCAGTGACTGTAAGTCTCAGCAGCCCCAGGCCACACAAATCCAAACATGCTGGTGGCAGGACTTTGTATTTGATTGTGGTAAAACACACGTAACATTTGTTAACGAAAAAAAACCCACTGAAACCTGTAAAGAATTTTTGTGAGTTTACTTGAGCCAAACTGTCGACATATGCCGGGAAGCAGAACCTCAATGAATTGAGATAATGTTCCGGAGAATGGCGGGGTTACATCTGTATTTATACATTTGCAATCAAAGGAGGGACGGAGGTGGGTTACATGGAATTCATTGGTGATAGATTAAGGAGGAGGGATAAAGCAAAGCGGGGGAAACCCCTGGGATTGGATAAAAAGTAAAATGATGGACACATACTTAGGTGGGTGCAGGATCAATTAACATGATAATGAAGGAATTTGTGGCATCTGTCCTGGTGCCCAGCACATTAGGCTGTGCCCCAGGGGCCCCCCAAAAAGGGAAGTTACAAGTTACCCTGACATTTCAAGGGTATGTTATCATAGATGCAAAAAGACAGATAGGCTCAGTTACGGTAAAGGTTGACCTTGTCAGTGAAGATACTGGCCTAGGACGTAACTGCCCACCATAACTGCTTTTAAAGTTTAATTTCAGACCATCCTTTGTGGTTACTTTAGGTCTCTGAGTTTGCAAGACCGCCATGCAGGCCTCCCCTGAGCTTGTCAGGTCAGCATGTGGCCCCTTTCGCCCACACATTGTATTTTCCATTTTAACCATTTTAAAGTGTGCAGTTCAGTGGCATTAAGGACACTTGCGTCGTTGTGCAGTCATCTCCACCATCCATCTCCAGAACTTCCCCATCTTCCCACATCGAAACTGTCCCCATTAATCAACAACCCCCCTCCCTCAGCCCCGCAGCCACCGTTCCACTCTCTGTCTCTGCTCTGACGCCTCCAGGGACGCCTACGAGTGGATCCTGCAGTGTTTGTCCTTTGTGTTTGGCTTATGTGCTTAGTACCATGTCCTCCAGGCTCACCTGCTGCCCCGAATGCGAGTCAGAATTTCCTTTCTTTTAATGAATAACATCCCATTGTATGGATGGACCACATTTTGTTTATTCATTCACCCGTGATGGGCATTTCATCCACCAGCGGGTTGCTTTCGCCTTTCCGCTGCTGTGAATAACGCTGCTATGAAATTGGTGTGTAAATATCTGCTCCAGTCCCTGGTTTCAATTTTTTGGGGTATACGCTCGGATGTGGGTCCTATGACAATTCTACATTTAACTTAGGACTTATTTTTTATCTTTTTTTAAATCACAGTTTACATTCAATTCTATTTTGTATTAGTTTCAGGTGTAGAGCACAGTGGTCAGATAATCATACACCTCACAAAGCGCTCCCCGATATTCCCGGTTCCCATCAGCACCCCATTATTGACTAATCCCCATGAGTATTTTGTAACTACCAGTTTGTACCTCTTAATCCCCTCACTTTTTTCACCCAGTTCCTCAGCCCACCTTCCCTCTGGCAACCATCAGTAAGACTTATTGTGAAAGCGATCGGTCGATAATCCTAAACACAATTACAGCCAATTTGTTTTTAATTCATGGACTCAAAACCCACTACAGTTTAACACCCTCACCCACTGCAGGTGAGGTCCTGAGACTCCAGTTTGAGAGCCCGCAGAGCCAGAGCTGGGTGGGGCGAGGGGAGCTGGCTCGGAAGCCGGGAACGCGGCCAGCCCAGGTGGAGGTGTTCACCCTTATTTCAAAGACTTCTATGAAGGAGAGATCTCATTAGTAGTTGTATATATTGATTAGTAATTAGTAATTAATAATGTTGCTATGTTGAAATGATAATATTTTGGCTATATTGAGTCGAAGAAACGATCGCATCAAAATTAATTGCACTTGTTTCTTTTTGCTTTTTAAAAAGTAACCACTGGCCCTGACCGGTGTGGCTCAGTGGATAGAGCGTCGGCCTGCTGACTGGAAGGTCCCGGGTTCGATTCTGGTCAAGGGCATGTACCTTGGTTGCGGGCACATCCCCAGTAGGAGGTGTGCAGGAGGCAGCTGATCGATGTTTCTCTCTCATTGATGTTTCTGACTCTCTATCCCTCTCCCTTCCTTTCTGTAAAAAAAATTAACAAAATATATTTTAAAAAAATAAAATATATTTTAAAAAAATAAAATATATTAAAAAAATAAAAATAAAAAGTAACCACTGGAGCACTGGCTGGTGTTGCTCAGTTGGAGTGTCATCCCGTGCACTGAACGACTGTGGGTTCGATTCCTGTGCAGGCACACACCTCAACTGTGGGTTCCATCCCTGGTCGGGAGGCAATCCATTGATGTTCCTCCCTCACATTGATGTCTCTCTCTCTCTCTCTCTCTCTCTCTCTCTCTCTCCTTCCCCCTCCCCTCTAAAAAAATCAGTAAGCATGTCCTCGAGGAAGGATTAAAAATAATGAGAATAAAAAATAAAATCCAGTGTGATGTGACCACGGGAGAGTGGAACATGGAGCTGGTGGCTCGCATTCCCGTTCTGTGGGAAGCTCAGCCCAGGGTTTAGTGCAGGTGTTCCTAAGTCTCGAGGAGTCACCTGAGACCTGGACTCTGTGGCTGGTGCTTCTATGCACTTATTTTGAATGGAGTTGAAGTTCGTATAACATACAATTAGCCATTCTGAAGTGTACAATCCTAAGGGGCATTCAGGACATGCACAATGTCGGAGAACCACCACTCCTCTCTAGTTTCCTGCTTCCTCATCACCCCAGAAAAACAGCTGGTATCCATTAAGTCATCACTCCCCATCCTCCCTTCCTCTGGCCCCTGACAACCCCTAATCTGCTTTTTGTCTCAGTGGATTTGCATATTCCAGACATTTCACTTTAAAGGAATAGTACAATACGTGACCTTTTGTGTCTGGCGTCTTTCACTGAGAAGGTCCTCAAGCCTCATCCTCCTTGTAGATCAGTGGTTCTCAACCTCCCTAATGCCGCGACCCTTTAATACCGTTCCTCATGTGGTGACCCCCAACCACAAAATTATTTTCGTTGCTACTTCATAACTGTAATGTTGCTACTGTTATGAATCGTAATGTAAATATCTGATATGCAGGATGTATTTAGGCGACCCCTGTGAAAGGGTCGTTCGACCGCCAAAGGGGTCTCGACCCACAGGTTGAGAACCGCTGTGTAGCAAGTGTCAGAACCCCATCCCTTTTCATGCCGAGTAATATTCCATCGCATGGCTCTACCGCCAGGAGTTTACCCACTTATCCGATGCTGGGCATTTGGATCGCCTCTGTCTTTAGCTGTTATGAGCAATGCTGCTATAAACATGTGTGTATAATTTCTGTGTGGACATCTCTTTTCATTTCCTGGGAGTAGA